TGGTAAGACATAAAATGGAATACTGGAAGCCATAAAAAAATCATGAGGCGAAAGAGAACTGATTCACAGGAGAACTGTTCACCATAGCTTATGTAAAAAGAGGTTATAGGGGCGCCTGGGTGGCTCAGTCATTAAGTGTCTGCCTTCGGCTCAGGTCATGGTCCCAGGGTCCTGGGATTGAGCCCCGCATCGGGCTCCCTGCTCGGCAGGAAGCCTGCTTCTCCCTCTCCCACTCCCCCTGCTTGTGTTCCTGCTCTCGCTATCTCTGTGCCAAATAGATAAATAAAAAAATCTTAAAAAAAAAAAAAAAAGAGGTTATAAGCCCAGTGTGCAGTTATGATCCCCAGAGGGGCTAAAAAGGCAAACGCGTCTCCATTTTTGTTCATGCCAGTGGTCCATGTAGGTTGAATGATTGTCACAGGCAATTCAAGGAATGATCTGAAGTCCGAGACCAGAGTGACCCCAAGCCTCTGAGTGTAAAGAGTAGAGCCATGTGACTCTGGCAAGAATAGAACTCCAAGATAAAACCTCGGAATGGGTTAGCAGGAAGTATCTCCATTGAGGATTGGGCTAGAGTAAGGAGTTTGGTGAACTGGGAGAATTAAGACAGACAAGTGAGAAATGTACCTGAATGTAATTTAGGTTTTATCCTCATTAAAAATGCCCCCCCCTTCCCAGTGATATATAGATGCAAACTAGGTGACAAGGGAATAAGAAAAATCAACAGTTTATAACCGCTCAGTAAATAATTGATTCAGGCAAGGTATGTTAATGGGTCTGCAAACCACTGGCAAAGGGTGAAAGGTTGATGGGGCATAGGTTATTTATTAATTACAAAGAGAAACAGGATGCTTATAATGTCAATATCTGGTCAATTCCACTCTAACAAATGATCAGATTTAGCAGAAACAAATAATGGTACAACCAGAATTAGGGGCCTCCCGATACAATGCAAAGGGAGAACGTCATAGTACCAAAGCAGTGTTCCTGCCAAAGTGATTACTCTGAGTGTAATAACAGAGAAAGAATCTCACACATTCGTATTAGGGAACATTTCTTATGTCTCCTTTAACAGAAAGGGCAGAGGACCTCTTTTCTTATGTCTCCTTTAACAGAAAAGGGCAGAGGAACTCTTTTTTGTTAAAGGAGACATAAGAAACGTGACTGGAAAATGCAATCCTTGATCCTTAAATGGATTCTGGATCATGGAAAAAAAAAGCATTATAAAAGGTTACATAGAATAATTGGAAAATTTGAAAATGGACTGCATATTCCACAATATGTATCGATGTTCAATTCTGAGGTGTGAAAATAGTGTTGTGATAATATAGAAGAATGCCCTTGTTCTAAGATATACAGTGAAGCATATAGAAGTAGTATTATGCTTGTAACTTGTTTTCAAACAGTTCAATAAAATAAAAAAGAAATAGGAGATAAAGCAAACATTGCAAAAAAACTGCTAACACTGGTAGAATTCAGTAAAGGGTAAAATATTTATTCTTTTACATAAACTGTTTAAGTCCAAGTAAAATAATAATTAAAAAATTATTATTATTAAGTTATTACTAAGAAGAAAACTATCCAGAGAAGAACAATATGCTACTTTTCATTCCAAAGAAACATGCTTGAGATGCTAGTTTTAATAGTCCGCCCATAAACTATCCTACATTCCTACCACAGGTACTGGGGCAATGTGTACTGAGTAGAGCACACATTTAGAAGAGTGAATCATAAACTTCTTCAAAGTTAAATTTGCAAACCTCCCATACATGTTATCAGTAAATATCACAGGCATTATAAAATTAAGATGAGTCTATAATCCACTTCTTCAGAGACACAGCCTATTTCTTTGCTGAGTAGTATACTCTCTATAGGACCTTGTGAATGACTTTTAACATGCTGTAACTTCTAACTGAAGACGACCAGGGGTGAGGGAGTGGAGGGGGAGTTGGGCAGAGAGAGCTGCTAGAACCAGGAAGGAGGGTCCCAAGGGCAGGGTTTGGCCCTGCCATACAAAGATTCCCTTACCAGGTGAGCCGGGTGAGAAAAGTACAGACTATGGGCACTCTGTTCTCACCTCCCTGAACACGCCCTGGATATGTTCTAAAAAAGCACTCCTCACACACTCTTCCAAATGTGACATGTAGCAAGGGTCTATTAGAAAAAAAAGTTAATGCAAACATTAAAAAAAATTCTGAGGTCCTAATCATTACTAGACTGTTGTGACAATTAGACCTTTGTGCCTCATGCATCCCCCTTCTTGTTAGAACAGAACATACTGCTTGTGGGGGCCTTGTCATGGGGAAAGTGCTCTGTGGGAGGGGCACTGCTGCTCTCTCCTGTGATCAGATCAACTCTTCTCAATTGGTGCAGTTAAAAGACATCAAATCCACAAGCTATACCCATAATGTATCCAAAGTGTGTCTAGGCATAAAAGCTTAATTCCCATTTGTAGTTTGGTAGACACAATAATAAAAAGCATGGCGTTCTATAGCAGAAAGCCTAAAATGCAAGATCCTTGAACAAGAAAGTGAAGGGGCTGATATTAGAAAAGAAACTCTGAGTGACAATACACTTTCTCCTCCTGTTGAGCAATAAGTTCTATTTCAGCATCTCCATATACTACATGTGATTATTTCTCCATAAAATATATTTAAAGAATGTCTTAGGGGCACCTGGGTGGCTCAGTTGGTTAAGTGTCTGCGTCAGCTCAGGTCATGATCCCGGGGTCCTGGGATCCTGCCCTGAGTCAAGCTCTCTGCTCAGTGAAGAGTCTGCTTCTTCTCTCTCTCCCTCTGCCTCTCCCCGATTGTGCTCTCTCTCTCTCAAATAAATATTAAAAAAAAAACAACCCCAAGAATGCCTTGATAGCTTTATTAAAAAGCAGTATTTCTGAAGACTATCAAGTTGTGGGTCATTAGCCACTCCAACTGAAGAAACACGTGATGGAAGGGCAGGGCTCTTTAGCATGTAATCTTACAGAGAGTAGAGAAAAATGGCCAGGAGGAGATTTGGTAACATTAGCAGACAGATTCTGTATGTAGTGCTTCTGTTCTTCCCATTTTGGTCTTTGAAAAAGAGGCATTGGGAATCTTAAGAGAAATGGGGGAAGGGGAAATAAAGTAGAGTTTCCCAGCTAAAGTGCTAAAAAGGCAAACTGAAGTTGTTCTCTAAATTACCTAACAATCGAAGTAACAAGAGACCCTGTCTATGGCTGAGACAGACAGGAGCAGACAAGGAAAGAAGACCAGAGACCCTCACAATCCCCTAGCCGAAACTGGTAGTCAATCAGGAAAGGCCCTTGGAAAGTCTGATTATAGGATTACAGGTGCCTTACTAATCAAATTCTGCGTATACAGTTTGGTTAGGAGGTAAGGAAAGGTAAGGTAACAGAAAATGTTTCCTTACAAAGGTAAGGAAACAGAAAATGGACATAGAGCACCAAGGTACTTGTAATTGACATTTAGACAAGAATAACTGAAATTAATGGTTTATGTTTAATTTCAGGGGCTTTAACAGGAATACGATCTGATAGTCTAAAAGTATGTTAAGCAGGGCATGAAAACCAACAGAATGTGTGTCATATGTATAGGTATATGTAGTATATGTAGTATATGTATATATATATATATAAAGGGATTTATTTTAAGGAACAGGCTCATGTGATCATAGAGGCTTAGCAAGTAGGGGGTAGGCCGCAGACTGGAGACTCAGAGAGAAGTTGCAGTTTGAGTCCAAAGGCCATCTGCTGGCAGAACTCCTTGCTCAGTGAGGGTAGGGGGTGGGGAGGTATCAGCTTTTTGTTCTACTCAGACCCGTGAGTGGATGAGGCCCACTCATATCATAGATGGTAATCTGCTTCATTCAAAGTCCACCAATTTAAATGTTAATCTTATCCAAAAAATACCTTTACAGAAATACCTAGAATAATGTTTGACCAAATATCTGGGCACCTTGGCCCAGCTAAGTTGACCCATAAAATTAACCATCACAAAACCCTATCTTTGGGACCTAAAAAGAAGTAATTTTATCACTTAGGAGTATTAAATCAGATCCCAAGGAATGCTTCTAAGGAAGGAAATAATAAAAAAACAAACAAACTAGCTGTAAGGGCTAAAAGAATAAATCTGAAGTTATGAAATAAGATAAAAATTCTCAGTAAAGTAGGAAAGAGGGAAACTTCCTCAACTTGATAAAGAATATCTACAAGAAACCTAGAGCTAACATCATACTTAACAGTGAGAAACTAGGAACTTTCCCACTAAGATCAGGAACAAGGCAAGGATATTCCCCTCACCACTCTTTTCAACACTGCACTGGAAGTCCTAGTTAATGCAGTAAGACAAGAAAAAGAAATAGAAGGTATACTGATCGGGAACTAAGAAGTTATGAAGTAACACTAGGTGTAATGTTTTATATATGGGTGTTTTCATTCACTACCCTTGATCTTTACCAAAAACCAATGAACAAAACCCCAAAGAACCTAAGAAAAGCTATGAGATATCTGTAATTTAGTAAGATCATTGTACTGATTCCATGTAATAAAGGAATAACTAATGTACATGAAGTGATTTTATATTTACAAAGGGTTTCACATTTATAATCTCATGTGATTCTTAAAACTTTGTATGGTAGATAGGGCTGATATATTCATGATTAATGGTGCCAGAGTTCAAATTCAGATCCTTTAACTCCAAATCTTGTGCGTTTTACACTGTTTATGTGAATTTTTAGACTATGCTCTTCTCTCCTGACATATAATTAGGTATTGAAATATGAATGCAATTCTTCACCAATGTAAAGTTCTGATTTTCATCTTTTCTACCTTCTAGGTCTCTATCTCATATTATGTAAACCTACAGAATCCAGAAAATCATAGAATGCTCTAGAACTATGCTGTCTAATATGATAGCCACTAGCTATAAGTGGTGATTTAAATTTAAATGAATTAAAAGTAAAAATTCAGTTCCTTAGTCAAAACAGCCAGATTTCAAGTGCTGAATCAACAGCCACAAGTGGCTAGTGGCTACTGTGTTAGGCAGGGCAGACATGCAACATTTCTATCAGCAGAGACAGTTCACAGGAAGACTTAGAGATTAATCTATCATTTCATTCATTTCACAGCAGAAAGGACCAAGACCTAAAAGTTATGTAACCTATTCAAGATAACACAGCTCAACAGTAGAAACTGTAGGTCTCTGAACTCCAAGTAATTTGTTTTTCATGCTATAGAATAATCTTACTAGATAAAATCCAACAGATCCACATAAATCTCTGTCAACCCACAGTTAGCAGAGAACTAATTTCTAGGCATTCTTTTAGAACGTATGCCCAACTTTCCTTTCCAAGCTTCTGAACTTTCTCTCTGTCCCCTTACCCCTAAAACCTTATCCATTCATGGGAATAAGGAACACAGACAGGAATTCACTGTTCATTAATTGAACACATATTTAACTATCTTCTTTGTGCTCAAATTAGCCAGAGTTGCTTTTTGTTGACTGCAACTAAGGATCCTGACTGCTGATATATGGGGATGGGGAGGGAGAGAACATGGAGACTATCCTCCAAACTGAAATTTGCCTCTAATTAAAAGTCAACTTCATGCTCCCGATTTGGGAATTAGAAAAGAAGTGTTACCTCCTCTGGTAAACTGAAAGCACCCTGAAGGCCTGGCTCATCTCAGATTCCAAATAAATCTTGTTGAATGATACATTACTTGATAGGGTTTTGCCCTTGAGGTAAGAGCACAGGATGGCAATAGTAAGAAAAAATAGCCACAGTCCTTCTCCTAGCAATAAGAGAGATTGGTCAGCATTCACCTCGACCCATACTAACAGGTACTCCCTGGTATACTTTACAGTACTTAATTTTAAAATTTCTGTTCTCTAGCAAAATGATTAGTTGCCAAAAGTTCTGCGTATAACCTCTAAAATGCTCTGTTCCCTCATCTCCAAAGTGGGTTTAAGACCTATCTCATGGGCTCAAAGGAGGATTAAATGCAATAAAACCATTAACTCCTACAAAAACATTAAGGACTATCACGATTGATTTTTAAGCTCTTCAGTAGAGGTCAAAGTATGTCTTCATTTTCCATCATGTGGAAAACTATTACCTTTAAAGTTGAAAATTATCCATAAATGACCACATCAGAAATAAGGAAAACATAAAAAGACTGTTTCATTATTACAATAGCTTTTGACTTGAGAAAGCTGTCATTTTAAAACTTACAGCGTCAGACTTTAAGCTTTTTAAATCATTTACCTTATTAGCAAAATATATTTACGCATGCAACTTTAATGTATGTTTATATTTATTTAGATGTTATCCACATATGCTCCTGTGCTATTAAATTATGCACATTATAAGATACACACAATAATATACATTTAGAAAGATGAGATAAAAATTATAAGCAGAAGTCCCACATTTCCTTCTTGTACCTCAGAGGATTGTCCTGCATAATCTCCCCACCTCACCTCGAAGATCCAGAGGATAACAGACAGTTTTAAAGTAAAGTAATTCTGGAATTGATGTTTTATTCACTGGCTGTATTAAATTAACCTTATTTTACAGAGGGATGTTAGAACATTATAAAATCCCACAGTAGCAAACCCCTCTCACGATGACCTCGGTCAGCCTGTGCCTGGACCTCTTCAGTGATTATCAGGGAAAGGGCGGGGGTCACAGTGTCAGGAATGGTTCATTCAGGGGTTGAATGGCTGCTTTATTGATTCACACAGTAATTTCCTTTCTCCCTAATACAGAATGTGAGCAGCATGAGGACAGGGGCAGGGACTAGATCTGTCTTATTTACTGCTGTGTTCCACTGTCTAGAAGTGTCTCATACATAAAGATTTGCAGAATTAATGTATAAATGGTGAGTGGTTTTTTTTTTTTAGAGAACTCTTCCTCACACCTAATCTGGATTTATAATGTAATAATAGTAAGAGTGGCACTTTTCACACTATGTGCCAAGCACCTTTATCAAAAGCACTTTTCACATATTAACTCACTGAGTCCTCCCAACTACCTTATAATGTAGGTACTGTCAAAATTCTCATCTTAGCTGAAGAAAGTGGGACAGAGAGCGGTCAAGTGGCTTGACCAAGGGTGGGGGCTGGTGAGTGGCTGAGCTGGGATTTGCTGGGGCCAGTGTGACTCCTGGGTCCATTCTTGTAACTACGGCACATCACCGCCTCTCGGCAGGTCAGAGGGCTGGCCCCACTGCCGATGCCTGCATGCAGAGAAGACAAGGTCTATTCTCCCTCAAGGGAAGGGTCTTCAGGTATATGAGGACAGACCTCCTGAGCCTTTCACATTCATCTTTTTTTCTGAGCTGAACATTCTAGAGTGTTCAAATGCCTAAGAGATGATGTGGATTCAGTCCTTGGACACCTATGGGTCTCCCTCACCGTTGGAGGTTTGGTCAAGTCTGTCTCTGAAGGGTAAATAATCTAACCATGGACTCTGCGGAGCCCTGGGTATGAGTCCCGGCCTTGCAAAGTCACTATTTGACTCTGCAAATAACTTCAGCTTACAACGCCTCAGTTTCCTCTCCCGAAAAATGAACTGATAATAGTTCCTTCTTTGCAAGAGGGCAAACTGTCCTTTTGTCCAAATTTCTCTTCCAGGAAGAGGCTTGGCACAGTACATCACTCGCAAGGGAGACACATTAGCATTCATTTGGACAGTAACGCTGAACTTTATGGGAACGTACTGTACTGGCTTGGGAAATAGCTTTCTTCTCTTTTCACTGGAATGATTTGGCCCTTTAACTTAATTTTACATGGTGACACTGACTCAATTCTCTCCGTCTCTTGCTACACGGTTCTTCCTTTCTCATAGGAAAAAAAATCCTCATAAAAACAATTTATAAGACATCAAAATATTGACAGAAACCTTAAACCTTAATGTCTGAAGATATCTGTGGGCATGATTTATTACAGAAGTTCCACTGTTATAACTTGGCAATTAGGAAATATTGATAAATGCAAACACATTATTGATGTCAATTAAAAAAAGCACAAGATTGATGAGCCTCCCAGAGTGCTTGGACACAAACAGTTACAGAGTAATGTCCATCAATACACATCTAAGCACTATAAATGCCCAGGGAAATCAGGCTGTCAGCAAACAAAGGGTGCTTTCACATTAACAGTGAGATTATTTAAACAGATGAACATCTAGTCAACAGGAATATCTAACAGAACCTCAAGTAAAGTTCTATAGAAAAAACAGAATGCTTACTGGTGATTCGTGATAAGGCAGGCAAGGAAAGTACTCAAGAGGAGTCAAAGATCGGGACACACATTGACGTAGCTAAAGGCTGGGCCAAGTACCTGAGTTGGTTAGACCTGACTAGAAGTGAATAGCATACACCCAAGCCTGAACCTGAAGAAGAAGATAGTTTTCAGGGTGGTACCTCAGAACATAGTTGAATATTTCCAGGTACCCTATTTTAGAGGACCTGAAAAGAGGCTTAGATTTATTTTAAATGGAGTACAGAAACAATCAAGGCTCCATTCTCTGTGCATAGGGGCGAGGAAGGAGTTGAGTCTGCATTACCAAGAGAATGGAAGTACTGGGAATTTGGAAAGGAAAATTAGTTTAAGGGAAGGCAAGATAACTCATTAGGTTTTGGTCATGAGGGCTTCCAAGTGCTGATAAAACACCCAAGTGCAAAGATCTACTAAACCAAGGCTAACAGTTTACATGAAAGAGAGGACCAGATACGAAGTTTCAAGGAGTAAACAACATAAGATCTGTAAAGAATAAGGATATAAAAAAGACTGACTTAGTGGTAAGGAGGTCTATGCGTCTGAGACAGCAGCTGAATTTTTGTAGGGAAGAAGGTAGAGTTTAAAAAAAAAAATCAACCAACACCTACTGTGTGAAAGACTTCTATGAGGCACTATGCAAGGCAAAGCACATTACCCCGGTCATCTGGGAAGTTCATCTCTTCAATCCAAGCTCAGGGAGGGTCTCATGGAGCAGTGAAAGACAGCACCCTCAACCAGAGCTTCAGATTATCTGAATCAACCCTGGCTGCCCAATGCACACTTCCAAGCCATACCGGAACTCTTATACACACTGTAATATCAATGAGGGCTTAAACTGGTTCTCACAGAGAACTGGGGTCTAGATCTAGAGAAGGACTGGCCTGAGATTCATGTGGACAAAATAAATATATAAAAATTAAAAATAATCTTAACCTTCCCTTGCATGTTCCAAGAGCAATTAGGTCAACATTAGCTTTCCAATCTAAATCTGGTTGTTTTATGTATAAAAGGTATACACTATACCACTTCCTAGCCACTGGGATGGCTGGAAGTATTTGCAAGAATGTGGCAAAATTAGAACCCTTACAAGCTGCTGATGGTAATGTACAAAGGAGCACTTACTTTGGAAAATAGGCTGGCATTCCTCAGAAAGTTAACAGTTATCATGTGACCCAGCAATTCCACTCCTAGATATTTACCCAAGAGAAATGAAAACATATGTCTACACCAAAATTTGTACACTAGTATTCATAGCAGCATCACTGACAATAGCAAAAAAGTGGAAATGGCCCAAATGTTTATCAACTGATAAATGGATAGATAAAATGTGATACAGTCATTCAGTGCTATTAGAAAGGAATGAAGTATCAATACATACTATGAATGGATGAACCTTGCAAACATGTTAAAGGAAAGAAGCCAGTCACAAAAATAAATTCCATTTATATGAATGTCCAGAGTAGGTAAATCCATAGAGACATAAAGGAGATTTGTGGTTTCTAAGTGCTGGGGGAGAGTGATTGGGGAGAAATGGGGTCACTGATGATGTGTATGGCGTTTCTTTTCGGGATGATGAAAATGTTCTAAAATGATTGTGATGATGGGTTACACAACTCTGCGAATATACTAAAAGCCACTGAATTGTATAGTTTAAATGGGTGAATTTTATGATATGTGAATTATGTCTCAATAAAGTTATTTTTTTTTTAAGATTTATTTATTTGAGAGAGAGGGTGTGAGTTCATGGGATGGGGGGAGGAACAGAAGGAGACGGGGAGAGATAGAGAGAGTGCATGCAGGGGGAGGGGCAGAGGGAGAGGGAGAAAGAGAATCTCAAGCAGACTCCCTGCTGTTTGTGGAGCCTGACGAGGGGCTTGATCTCAGATGCTGAGATCATGACCTGAGCCAAAATCAAGAGTTGGATGTTTAACTGACTGAGCCACCTATGTGCCCTCCCCCTTTTCAAAAAATATTTATTTATTTATTTATTTATTTGAGAGAGAGAGAGAGAGAGAGAGTGTCAATAAGGCTGTCATTTAAAGAAAAAAGGAAAGGAATACACTGAATGTTCTAGCAAGTTAAGGAACACATGATCTAGTGAAATCTACACAATATTGGCCTTCGCTAGGGAAGAACAGATTGAACTGCCAGATTCCATCAGAAAGTTTCATCAACAGGCTGAATCTTGATTGGTTCTGGAGTTGAGAAAAATCAGACCAGGAAATTTCCAGAAAAATCTGGAAAAATTTGGTGTACCAGCAGGCCAACACACCCCAATTTAAGCCCTGATAATCCAGTTCCTTTGAGTGCTAGAACGTTTGGCCTGGTGCATTAGCATTTGTCACTGGGCTAGCTCCCAAAAGCTGCTGCCCTGTTATGCTTCCACTGGTCTCCTTGCTGTTCCCATGGTGATCTATCTGACAGGAGATGCTGAGGACAACTTGTGCATCTGATGGCTGTGGAGTTTCAAAACAGACCAAAGTAAGGAGCACACTCCTATCAACTATCCTGAAAGGCTGAACAAATCTTACAAGTATCTTTCTTGGTCTACAGCTCTATTAATCTTCTTTTCTTCCCATCTATTCCCCCTGAAAGAAGAGAAGGTGCATGACTTCCTGAATAATTTTACCTGCACTTGGACTATGGCTGCTATGTAGATACAGGACTCTGCAGATATTCTTATCGCCAGGGTTTATGTGACAAGCAGAAATGCAGGATGGATGAGCTACAATTTATATGAGCAGCAAACCCTCAGTTGCACTAAAAAATATCCCCCAAAGATTGTTAAATAACTTCTCCCTGAGATGAAGACTGCATTACTGAGAAGACGTCTCTGCCATTCTTTTGACATTAAGCTGTGTTATTCTACTTGGTTGTGAAGAATATTGTCTTGCTCTATCAGCCAAAACCCAAAGAGCTTCATCAGGAGTATGCACACTATGGGAACACGTGAGATTTCCAGTGGTAATAAGAGAGAGTTGCATTGTTCAATATATAAGAGAACTTAAGAGTTTGAATCTCTGTGTAAGTGCAACAGAACAAAAATTATCCCTGGGGCAAAGGTTAATTTAGAGAGATCCAGAGATCAGTAATTACAAAAATCAAAGACAATTTGCTGGCCTTCTGGAGAATAGGTACTCAGTGCAGGGTGACAGGTTTGGGGGTACCTGTTCAGGGGCTCAGTTTCAACTCCTGGTTCTCAACCTTGGTTGCATGTTGAAGTCATCTGGGGAGTTTTAACACTACTGATGCCTGAGTCCTACCCTCAGAGTCTCTAATTCCATTGGCCTGGAGTGGCCTGGTCCTAGGGATTTGTGAAAGCACCCAGGTGGTTCCAGTGTACAATCAAGGTTGAGAACCATGAGCAGAAAGTGCAAAGTCCTGTCTTTGAAGATCCCACTAAAGATCAGGTAGCCTTTGGTTCCCCCAGTAATACAGTTTAAAATTAAAGCTGAGTTGAACTAAATCCCAAGTGTACTGCAACATACAGGCACAAAACGTGTTAAAATAAAGATGAAAACTTCCTTCTTCTTGGGGGAAATGTATGGTTGTTTTGAGATTGATTATAGTTTTTCTTTCCAAACATTACAAAATGCTTAGATAATGGAAAACTTCACTAGTGTATGGTTGCAAGTATTTGAGGTGAGTAAGTAACACAGGTATTTGAGATGGAATGTGCTAGTCTTCATTCAGTTTCCTTTTGTTATCAAGGAAGGGCTACAGGCAGTGTAATATGAACCTTAGTAATGTACGCCTAAAAGGTCCCTCCTGGGTGCACAAGTGCATGGACAGGCATCTGCCCTCCTTCTTGATGAGACAAAAACTTTAGATCCCTGAAATGCCCTGGAGATATACCAAAGCCTCAAATGGCCCTGGTCTGGTGGGGGAGGTGGGAGGGAGTTTAATTTGCTCATGCCACAAACTATCGCTTTTCTTTGAGTGAGTCATTTCACTGGTCAGACTTAATTCCCTTCTCTGCCTTCCACTCAGCTCTGGGTCAGGCCTCTGGCTCACCCCTTGAGCTAATGCTTGCTGCCTCCAGAGGGAGCTGTCTTTCAGATCCTGCCAGCAGTAAGGCCTGAAGAGCTCTGAGGGCTCGGGGGCGCTGCACCTCATTCTCTCAGCGTGCACCCGAGGACAAGGGCACGGAGATCCAAGAGTCACAGTGCTATGGGTCCCTTCCCCAGAGACCCACTCCTTGATTTTGAGCACCCACTGGCTTTTAGTTGAAAGGGGTTTTCAGGGGCACCTCGGTGGGGTGGCTCAGTAGGTTAAGCGTCTGCCTTTGGCTCAGGTCATGACCCTGGGGTCTTGGGATGGAGCCCCACGTCGGACTCTCTGCTCAGCGGGAACCTGCTTCTCCCTCTCCCTCTGCCTGCCGCTCTGCCTGTTTGTGCTCTTTGTCAAATAAATAAATAAAATCTTAAAAAAAAAAAAGTTACGTCATTAAAAAAAGGGGGGTTTTCAAGCTACAGAAGTTTATCTAAATCAGATTTTTGTAAAATTCATTTTACTAAAATGCAATGAAAGATCCTACTGTCAGGCAAAAAAGGATGGTGGTAAGAGACCTCAGCTCAAAAATCCTGCCTTCAACCATTATGTCTAAGGAGTCTCCGTCTCCTTAATCCCTCTCTCTGTGCCTTGGTTTCCTCACCTATAAAATGAGGACATGCTGCAGAGTAGTTGTAAATGAAATGATCCATGCCTGCAGTATGTAGCATAGAAGAGATAAAAATGTTTTAACCCCTGTAGTCTCCATAGTCATTGAATAACCATAACCAGAATTAATTTATATAAGTGTTCAATCTCCAGTTACATTTCCTTGGTAATCTAAATTTTCTTTCTTTTTTTAAGATTTGTTTATTCATTCACTTACTTAGAGAGAGTGAGTGAGAGTGCGTGAGCAGGTGGAGGGGCAGAAGGGGGGGCAGAGGGAGAGAATCCTCAAGCAGACTCCCTGCTGAGCGCAGGGCTGGACACAGGGCTCAATCCCAGGACCCTAAGATCCTGACCTGAGCTGAAACCAAGAGTCGGACGCTTCACCCACCTACTGAGCCACCCAGGCGGCCCGGTAAGCTGAATTTTCATAATGGGTTTGTTTAAACAATAAATCCTGGCAAGAACATGACTGCTTTCGACTTTCCTACATTTCTGGGCATGTCTGAATTCACATGAAAAGAGTTCTCCCAAAGGGTAAAGGTGAGTAAGTCATAATGTATTGAGGACCTCTGTGTTTATAACACCTGTATTCCAGAAAGCTCTGGAGAACTGACCAGAGGGGCAAAGGGCAGCCTGGTTCCCTGGCCTTGCCTTTGATCCCCCACCTATCATGGACAGGCTCATTTCCCAGCTTCCAATCTTCTCACATATACACAGAAGGTACACGAACCTAATGCCATCCCAAAAGGCTACCAAAGGAAGATGCAGGCAATGGAAGAAGCATGCAGACCAACTCACCAGTCTTTTTCATTCAGATATTTGGATAAGAATAACTTGCTCTAATAGGCCTCTCCAAAGCAGCTATGGTAACCCCCACTCTCTTTATTTCTCCCATTCCTCCCCCCAAAATACGAATAGACTGTCCTAAGTTTGTATGTATGGCAGGACCGCTATCTGTCTCAAAGAGAGTTTTATAATTGGTTATGGTTCTAAAAGGTTATGTTTTATGGATCAAAACTTTGCTAGCTCAGGTATGGCTTTTTACTTTGTTGATAAAGGTTATTCCCTAAATAGAATGGATGACACTGAGCCACTACTAAGATATTCAAGCATATATAATTTAGTCCTTTGTAATTAAAGCATATTTTATTTATTTATTTATTTATTTATTTATTTATTTATTTATTTATTTATTTGAGAGAGAGTGAGTGAGCAAGCATGGGAGGGGCAAAGGAAGAGGGAGAGAGAGAATTTTAAGAAGGTTCGATGCCCGGCGTGGAGCCTGACGTGGGGCTCAATCCCAGGATCCTGAGATCATGACTTGAGATGAAATCAAGAGTCAGATGCTTAACTGACTGAGCCACCCAGGTGCCCCAAAGCATATAATTCATTCAGCAATATTTTCTAAGCATTATCAGTGTGTAAGATACTGTGGTTAAGTGTGGGGACAGACACAGTGCCTGCCCTCAAGGAGACAAGGATCAAAACCCCTATTAAATGAAGAAGCCACATATACAACTCTCATGACTTGTCCACTGCTATGAAGGCATGTGTTCCAATGTGAAATCTGTCATTCACCGGTCATCACAAAACAAGTTCCTCAAATACTGACCATTCTTAGCCCTCTCTGCCCCTACTTTGGTAGCTCATTCCTGCGGACACTCCAAAATGCTTAGGAATAAATATGGATTGTCTGAGATGAACATTACAGAAATCTAAGGAAAATTTCCCCCAAGCTCTGCAAAGACATACCTTGTTGATCAGGCACCGTTCTCTGTGTATGAGCGTGGGTGAAAAGACAACGGTGGAGGGGCGCCTGGGTGGCTCAGTTGGTTAAGCGACTGCCTTCAGCTCAGGTCATGATCCTGGAGTCACAGGATCGAGTCCCGCATCGTGCTCCCTGCTTGGCAGGGAGTCTGCTTCTCCCTCTGACCCTCCTCCCTCTCATGCTCTCTGTCTCTCATTCTCTTTCAAATAAATAAATAAAATCCTTAAAAAAAAAAAAAAAAAAAAGAAAAGACAACGGTGGAACCAAATCTTTCTACCTGTATAGTGTGCTTTCCTGCTAGGCCCATTAAGGGCTCCTGGTTCTGCCTTCCCATCTTCTGAATTTGAGGACACCTTTATTTATTCAAATTCAGGCACCCCCAGTTTTCACTTCCAAACACCAACTGGCTCTACCTGCTCTTTTTATTTGCCTGTAGTCTTTCCTTCATTTCATTGCCTGGCAGTCCACAATGTGACAGGAACATCTAAAAGAAGAAAGTAAGAATAGTGAACTGCACTTCTCTTTTGCCCTCCTGGTTCCAGTCGGTGGATATGCTTTTATCAGCATGTGATAAATATTTCATACAGAAACTGTCACTTGGAATCTAGTCTTTGCAGCTTCACTGAAACCACTGAAAAGTATTTTGGAAAGTCAGACCTATATTACAACAAGTACCATATGCCAAGAGCCGGCAGATTAGCAAAGCCTCTGGAGTCGCCATGGAGGAGACTGGAGAACAGAGCCGCCTGAGAGGGGGACTGGCAGCAGCTCCCTTTCTGCATGTTTAGAGATCTGAAACCAAACTGTGACACAGCTCCGTCATTTCAGCACTTGAGATTTTAAAAGAAGTATGGAGAAAAACAAGCTGATGCACGGACACGGCTGCAACCACCTTTCATTTACTGAACATTCACCACGGGTCAGGTGTGGGGGTGCATGCTTTACAGACACATTTCTCTGTCTTCTCACCTCCCAACAAGGTGGGAACAGGAGAAGGAGTTCCGCAGGAAGTCATTTTCCTAAGTTCAGAAAGCTAGGGCGTGACGACCAGGATTTGAAATCTCTCCCGACTCCTGGATCCCGTGCCCTTTGTGCCTCCTAGTGGGGTAAGAAAATCGGAACGGAGCCTTCTTTCCTACTCTTGGAATTCACCTCACCAGATCGACTTTTGTTTTCGGTTTATTCTGGCCAATACACTAATTTCCAGGAGGAGTTCCTGGCTTCCTTTTTGGTACCCGGGCGGTAGCCACATCCTCAGGCAAAGCAGGATATTTAGTTTGAGGGCCCAGTGCTAGGGCCTGAAGGTTGTTAACTCTACTCACTGGTGAGCGGCTCTGCTGATGGTAGAGGGTGTCAGCGCGCTTTATGTCCTTCTGCGTTCATGAAGATGCTAGGAAGACTTCTGGTCAGAAAGGCCAAGTCTGCTGCTCTTGCCCTGGGTCAGGGGCACAGCGTGGGCTAGAACCAGTCCTTCTGAGTTTCAGTTTAAAACTCTTCCTTCCGTGTCTTCCGACCAAGCTTTCATGACTCTGAAGGATTAATGGAGGGCTCACTGTATCTACAAGGCACCGGGGGTACCACGGTGAACAAGGAAATGGCCCTGCCTCTCTGGAAGGTCAGGGGCTAAGGGCAGACATGCCTTATGAACACAGCACTGCAGTGCCATGTAATTAATGCCGCAGAGTCACACTGCCGTGCTTTGGCGGCCCGGCGGACACGATTTCGGCAGGCAAGAAAGGAGGAGGAAGGGCCCTCGAGGCCTTCCCGCGGGGCGCCGGTGAACGCAGAAAGGTGTCCGCTGGGCGCTGCGTGGGTCCACTGGACACGGCAGGCCCAGCCCTCAGGGAGCCTGCCACCCGGCTGAGGAGAGACTCAGCTGCTTCCAGTCGGGACGCAAGGGCAGGGCTGCGCGGGCAGGACATAAAGCAGGGCTGTCCGTAGGAGGCACACTCGGTTTTGCTCTTTTTCCCGGTCTCTCCTTCTGAGAGGCCTGTCGAGGCCCAGTGAAGAAAACCTCTTCAGTCAAGTGAGGTATTTACAGTCTGCCAGCTGTCCGAAAGGGCAGCTTCTGTGCACAGTGCACAGGCCCCCTGACCTCACCAGGATTCGGGGAGCGGTCCCGCCATGGCTGGCTATTAAAAGCCTTTACAAAGTATAGCCAAAGGGTTTTCTTGAATCGGCCCTGCTGCTGAGGCTGGCACCTAAGAACAAATATTACATAACTCGGCATTACATAACCCGGTTCCTCCTCCACGCTCAACAAAACATGCCGTCTGTGAGCTCAGGGCAGCTCGGTTTGCTTTTTAAAGTCAATTCAGTAAACAGAGGAGGTCGGTGCCATGACTCGCCCTTGGGCAAAAACCAAATTGCCAGGTGTGTTTCTGGGACCTAACAATCGTGACCACAATTATTTTCCGAATCAGAAAATATCCGGTGTGAGGGAGACCTCGGAGCGTCATGGAGCAGAACCCTCCCGAGCCCCAGGAGGAAGCTGGCAGAAGGGGACTGCCTGCCCACGGCAGGGGCTGGGAGCAGACTCCAGGGCTGCCGGCTCCCGGGCCCCCCAGCATTCAGCGCCTGCATTTGTTTTTTAAGATTTTATTTATTTATTTGACAGAGAGGGACAGCGAGAGAGGGAACACAAGCAAGGGGAGTGGGAGAGAGAGAAGCAGGCTTCCCTGCTAAGTAGGGAGCCCGACGCGGGGCTCGATCCCAGGACCCAGGGATCATGACCTGAGCTGAAGGCAGACGCTTAATGACTGAGCACCTGGGTTTTTATTGGGCTCCAAAGGCTTGTCCATCTCTGTGTAGGCAGTTCTGGAATGCACTCACTTACTAGTGAGATGGAATAACCTGTTGAAAGAAATCCCAAGTTGGATCTCAACAAGGCAGATTCAGACATAAATTCTTGTGCCCCTGGAGATCCAGGAAACCAGTGTACCCGAGTCCTTACTTTTTACAGATGAGGCCTAAAGGGTCATGGACTTAGTGGTGATGCTTTTGCTAACTTCTGACAGACTGAGGGGGAAATCCATGTGGCCTCTGGGTTGGGGCTATTTTCACTATATTCTGGAGTCGAGATGGGTGGGGGAGAAAAGACAAATTTAGGCCATATGAAGTGGAAATGTTTGAGAAAAAGGAAAATATTTAAAATACTGACTTAATTGTATACTAGCATTAATTGAATAAAACTAAGATTACTACAGTGCCACATCTTAGAGAATTTTTAGAGCCCTTTGATTATTTATAATGGACCATTTCATGACATGACAGCTTTAATTACCAGATTGGGGAAGAGAGAAAATGTCTGATACAACGTTTGGCTTTGGTATCTCAAAAACAGAGCAAGTACAAAACTAACATTAACTTCAGAATGGTATTCCTTTGCCTTGAGTAGAAAAATTGAATGATGATAATATTTTAAGAGAAATTAAATAACACGACCAAGGCCAGAGAGCTACTGAAAAAGTGTCAGGATTTCAGTTGCGGTGTATCTGGCTCCAAACCTTTTCTTGTCTCTTGGCTACCACTCCTATTATGTCTCTGCGTAAAACAACAGTTTTTTGGACTCACAGATGTATAATTAGGAGGTATCTTTCCAACAGCACCAATGAATCTATCCTTCATACACACACACACACACACACACACACACACACACACACACGAAACACATCAAGTTTGAAAATATCCAACTGCAGATAGCAAGTGCTCAGGAAACAAGTGTATTTCTCACACACGCCCTGGGCATGCGGGATCACTGGCTCCCCGCCACTTCAGGGGATGTGGTATAGAAACACAAACAAACATAAATGGGGCGAGCCCCTTCCACTGCTCTGCCTAAAAGGTGTGACACTGTTCCTTTGTCATCTTAGAAGAAGACCTTCTGCATAAGCATGACTGAAATTAACTTTGATTACTTGAAAGGACAAGCCAAGCAGCAAGGCATCAAAAGGTTTCCAGTGAAGGGCACTTCAGTGATAGCTTGTCAGGAAAAGCACAATTGCAGCTGCAACCTTCAGATCTAGGGGGAAATTCTGAGCAAACACTTCTTAAATAAGGTGGCTGAACTTTAACATTTTCAGACTGTGGTCTCTGTTTTTTTTTCTTTTGAAGGCAGAGAGAGTTTTTTTGAGAGATGCTAAAGGAGATCAGTGCCTCAGGATAAACTATTCATGAGTCCACAGAAGGTAAGCTGTTACCTTTTAATACGAATTCTAAATGAGCAATTAGAAAAGGAAACCTACTTCTTGCCTTCTCCCATCTCCAATGTCTTATTTACCCCTGTTAAGATGAGACCACCCACAGTTTGATATCTCTTCTAAGAACGGGCTAAAAAGTGAGAATAGATGTGGGCCCACCATTCTCCTAATTGTGCGTCCTTGGGGAGTTATTCAAACACGCAAAGTCTGCACTTCCTCATCTAACACATGAGGAAAACAGTATCTTTCTCACAAGGCTGCTGTTAGCAACTGAGACAACATGTTCAAAGTACTTTGTAGTGTCAGCGTGTAAAGAGGACACAATGAGCCAACACTGAGAGCAAGCATACATCACCACCACCACCACCACCACCAGCAGCAGCATCACCATCATCAATATTCATCAATAAAATCATCTCTTTACACATGTGGTAAATTAGGCAAATAAATGACCCCAAGATCACACAGTATGGTCCTAACAGAGCTGACATTACAACTTCCTCTCTTGCTATGGATCAGTGTACGTTCTGCTCCAGAGTTGATGGTGTCTACTTCCACTTCAGATGCTTCAGCAACAAAAATGGGTCTTCAAGGAATTCAAGAGTGAAAAGCTCTAGTAGGCTAGATGGGAGAGGATAATAAATATTCCCAAATGAAACCCCATGCAAAGCTTTCTATAAATAGCATTACTGTTGCCTTCCTCATGAGCTCTTCTGAACATGCAAATATGAAAAAGAACTATTACTGTATATGAAAAATGGAGAGATAGGATAGGCTTCTTCTAGAAAGAAAATGGAATCTTGTTTTGTACATGTCAGCCTCGGAGGAGTCATGCAAATTCAATGCACAATCTCTAACTGAGAGGTATTTTTTTCTATAGGCATGCCAACGGTGGGGATAGTATTGCCCCAGACTCGAGGATTTACTGGAATTTCTAGAAAGTGCAGGGAGGGAGGAAATTAGTTTAAATTCTTGTATGAAGAAGTCTTTTTAAAGCTGCAGAGAAACTATATATTGAAAAGACTGAAAAAAAAATGAACGTCATACATAGGCCAAGCTATAAAAGTAATCAAACCTTCTCATTTGACAGGGGTTTGGGGAATCTTTCATTCATATTGAAAGAATTCAGATATCCAAAAGATACATGGTTCACTCAGGGGGCAATTCCAGTCACTGTATATAAATTCATGTTGATTTCCTGAGGATTTTTATTGAAGTCCAAGACAGAGTGTTTAAATCTCCTTTGCTTCTGACTGCTTTATTAGTTTTTAAATATGTAGATTGATTTTTCGATCCAATCTTAGTTGATCTATATAGGCACAGGGGAAAGTATTGCTGGGGTACCCTATTAGAGTCCATATATTTCTGTTCTATTAAGTGAACAAATAGGTGTGATCTAGAATGAAGAGGAAAGGTTTGTCTCCCGAGAGTCAAAATGAGAAAGACCATCTACAAGGTTCTGACGGATTTGAAAATTCCAATCCCAACTCTGCCTCCAAAGAACTTATAAAGTCAATTCATAATTAGGTGGTATAGAGTAGGTGCTTGATAAATATCTAGGAAAAGAAACTGTGGCCATGGAATTACAAAATATATAGTGTCATTTGACCTATCTAACAGATCGTGTTTCATGCAGCTTAGAAGCCAGCCAGGGAGCAGGGAGAAGTCCAATCAAGAAGAAACTAGTATTAACATTAAGGTGGGGCTTGAGGAAAGCATTTTAATCTTTTTCTTGCCTATCAAGTTAACGTATTATTGCTCTTGAATTGCTATTTAATTTTCTTTGAAAGAAAATGTTTTGCTCAGAGAGATGCTCTAGTACTGCTGATGTATCTTCTATCAGAAAGGAAGGCTAACAGCAGAGGTGCTAGCAACATTAATAAAATAATTCAATTTTCTGACTTTTCTTGCAGCAGAAAGGCTAGACCAAGAGAAGTTTCTGAAATTTATGATGGTATAAATCCATAGCTGGCTTACAACTTTGCTTATCTATAGCCTAAACTCCGTTAAGATCTTAGTAAAAATTGGCCAAGGAAAGCTCAGCATAGAGTAGTTTACTAAAAAAAACGTATCAGATAGGTTTCTGCAAATAAAGAAGGGGACAGATATTCATGTGAAATGTTAAACCATGGGATTTTAGAACTGGAAGTAGCCTTAGAAATCATGGTATAATCCTTTGATTTTACACATAAGAAACTGAAGGTTCACAGATATAAATCCACTTGTTCAAGCTTCAAACAACTTAAGCCTCCCACTCTTAAATACCAATGTCTAAAGCATTTAATTTTATTTTTCCCAATTAAGGAAAAAACTGATGACCAGCTATAATTCCTTTTTTGGGGGGCAGGGGCAGATATTTTTTATTGTGGAAAAAAGCACCTTAAAATTAACCATCTTAACTATTTTTTTTTTTTTATATTTTATTATTTATTTGACAGAGAGAGCGAGAGCAGGAACACAAGCAGGGGGAATGGGAGAGGGAGAAGCAGGCTTCCCACCGAGCAGGGAGCCCGATGTGGGACTCGATCCCGGGACTCCGGGATCATGACCTGAGCTGAAGACAGACGCTTAACAACTGAGCCACCCAGGCGCCCCATCTTAACTATTTTTAAGTGGACAGTTCAGTACTGCTCAGTACATTCACACTGTTGTGAAACCGATCTTCAGAATTCTTTCAACCTGCAAAACTGCAACTCTGTACCCATTTAGCAATAACTCCACAGACACCCAGCTTCCTTCAGCTCCTGGCAACCACCATCTACAATCTGTCCCTTTGTGACCGGCTTATTTCATTTGTGTAATGTCCTGGAAGTTCATCCATGCTGTAGCATGTGCCAGAAGTTGCTTCCTTTTTAAAGCTAATATTCCATTGTACGTATATACCGCATTTTGTTTACCCGTTGATCCACGGGTAGGAATTTGCTTTGCTCCCACCTCTTGGCTATTATGAATGGTGCATAATTCTTTTCAAATATTTTCAATGCCCCTAATGTAGGAGTTGACTTTTCTTTACTCCATCAAAACAACTGCCGTGTAAATTTTAGAGATTCCCCCAAACTATCAAAATGGTACTTAGGCCAGAAGTATACACAAAGAGAGATAGTGTGCTATTAATTTTCCTCCAAAGGATCTAAAACCATCCTACCTTTTCACAGGCTGCTTTAAAGGATGAGAACTGTGGGCAAGATATCACTTTTAATTAAAGTTTTACCCACGATTCAGGGCATTGGAACGGATGTTGCAGTGCTGACAGTGAGAAAAGACAGACATCATTCATGAGCTTCTCATTTCACAACCGACACACTAAAAAAGTTATTGGTGGACATTTCTCTTGAACAGCCATTTAAAGACTAAACCATAAAATAGCAAACAAAAGTAAAAAAAAAAATGGTTTCAGAGACTCTCATCTATCACCATCCAAAATGCCAATAAACTGGGCAAATTACTTTGCTTTTAGTGACCTACAAATAAAGTAATTAAGTACGAGCCAAGAAATGCTGAAAATGCTCACACATACGCATAATCAGGTTAACAAAAATGCGGGCTATCTGTAACATCAACCCCTTTCCTACTATTTTTTAATGGCTGCATGGAACCTGCTCTTAATTGCTCACAACTACAGTTTCATAACCCCGAGTCTGATACATCCAT